TGAAGGTCTTTTTTGTCCGAAAATGACACATGTCAGACCCAGAACAACCCCTTGTTGTTGCCTTATATGTATAGTAAAGATATAGAACCCTAAAAAGAACAGTTGAGAGACAGAAAAGGGGGCGCGTGAAACTCACACACCTGATTCGCGATTCGTCATGACCTTTGGAACGTTCGCCTATGTTTCTATGTGGGCTACAATTTATATCCGTTATTTGCACATCCTATCAGAAACCGTTGCATTAAATGCTAAAACGTTGCGTCGTTTCATCTTCAAATCCATATGCGCGATGTTGCCCAAGTGTGGAGACGTCGGGTTACAAAGAAAAATGCAGACGTGGATAACATATGAAATACAATATCCTTTTGGCAATTTACGACATCAACAACTGTCATTGAACGAACACTTGTTAATGCAGGAGGCCACCTTGTTGATATCTTTTTGGCAAAAAAAATGATGAGGCCGTGAAGTTACCAATTCAGCCATGGTGACAGCCCAACACGTCTAAGTGAGCATACCTTGGATTTAATGAAGAAATAACTGACGTCAATCTCCGACTACAAGACAATATGACGATTAAATTCCCAGACCAGCCGAGGTCAAATTTACAACAGAGGTCTTACCAATCGAGGTCCAAGAAAGTTGACTTTCAATATTTTATAAGGCGGCGATTACTCATCTAGTCATCATTACTGTTGTCCGGTTGACAGATAACCGCCTCAAAAAAGTTATTTTGCATTAAATGCAATCACACCTAACTCGTACGATGGGTCAACTGCACTATAAATAGCAGAATTAATTGTTGAAAAAAGGACTTTTCCCTTTCAAAGACATGTACTAGATATTGAAATAGCATACACCTGATTATATACAAAATCGAAGTCTCACTACAACAAAAAAAGAGCTCTAACAACATAAATATGGTGACTTTTTTACAAGTGTAGTTAAAACTGATATGTTTGTGACGCTTTATGAAAAGTGTTACAAAGATAAAATTATAGCAACACTTTTTAAAAAAATGTAATTAAATTATGTCATTTCTTATCGAGTGTCACCATGATAATCAATATTGAGACATTTATTTAAAAGTGTAATTAAATAATGACGTTTTATACATAAATATCGTCGTGTTTACCTAAATATCAACACATTTGCAAAAATGTACTGAAATAATGTCACAATTTTTACTAATATGACAACATTTACCGAAAAATGTAATTATGTTATGATACTTATACAATTGTATCACCAATTTTTACTAATTACTAGTGTTCATCATGTGCACATGGACAAAGAAAAATAAAAATATATATTTTATGTATTATACAATATATAAAATTTTATATTAGATAATTGATGTACTACATTTTGAACTTTGACTACATGCAAATGTGTAATGTTAATGTAATTTATTTAACTTACATATCAATATTTATATTGATGCCATAAATTTTAATTGCTAATATAATTTAGTAATTTAGAGAGAACATTCAATTAATTAGTTAGAAAAGTATAACAATTATATTTATCATTGTTATAACATTTGTTTATTTGATTTTAAGGTGTTTAATTATGACCCTCATGCCAATTAACTAAGATAAAAATCGCTTAAAATGACAAAAAAATTTTAGTTTAGAAAAATTATTTAAAGAAAAAAAATTGCAATACAATTTTTTTATAAGTATGTAACTTCCACATACTATTTAATGTCTAGTTATAATCATCAATTAGTATTAGTAGTGAATAAATTAGTTTAAAATTATCATAACAGTTTATTAATGTAAAATGTAACGGTTTTACATTAATTGAAAAAATGAGCGGAAAAATAAATAGAGGTTTTATTAATTAGGTTTTATTAAATACTATATGCTAGCAATTTTATATATATAGATTTTTTTTAATATTGTGTACTTATTAGTATCTACTAGATTTGATTCGGCTGTGCACGCACAGCCGGCCCATAGTCCAGTCTATAATTATATTTTATAATTGTGAAAATTTTAAAATACAGTTACCCGCATTTTATAGCATTTATAAATTTGCATTCAAATAATTTGATATCAATCCATAAGAAATCAATTTGAAGTCAAATTATTAAGTTTTTTTTATTAATTAACAAAAGCGTTAATATTTTTTCTAATTTGTTTTGTGCATTTGATTGGCAAACATTTATCTTATTAAATCCTCCAATCACAAGCTCACAATAAAGGAAAGAAAATAAAAACACAAGATCCCAGAATCTTTGCCCAAATCAAAGGTTGATTACGGTGTCCAAAGTGCTAAAAACAAACTAAAATACACACAACTCATCACTACATGTTGATTACGGAGTCCAAAGTGCTAAAAACAATTGATATTAGATAAATTTAGTCGAATACTTTATAAATCATAATTTTTCCCCTTCATTGCCAAGCCCCTTAAATTCAGTCCAATAGAAAAAAAAAAAAAATAAACAAACAAGAATAATAATAAAGTTAAGAAAAGTTTGCCTGAAATTGTAGCCATCGACCGGCCGCAAGCGGATGAATATGACGTGTGAAGCGTGAAGGGAATAGTTGAGTTTGTCTTGAAAACCAGAGTCTTCATTGGTGTATCGGGAGTCTTAATCCATCTCCATTATAACATAAAAATGAAGTGACAATTTTTAATCTAACAAGAATTATAGAAAATAAAATAAAACAAGATGTAAAGCTTTTCAAATTCACAGAATGGATTCTACATAAATATGTGCGTGACTGCATGTCCGTGTTCTTTTTCCTAAAGTTCCAAGCTTTTCTTCTAGGAAAAAAAATCAAGAATAAGTAATAGTAAAATCGACAACATTCCACTAACCAAGAACGACAACATTCCACGCCTCGAAATGAGGGCCCACATTCTGCATAAAAGAAAATATCATATATTACACTACATACTGAAATGCATTTGTTAAAAACAAGAATAAGTACAAAGACTGTCTTAATATTTAGTTTAACTACAAATGAACCGAAACATGTTCGACGTTGCAAATACCCTCAAGTGATTTTGTAATAAAGCTCATGTCATTTCTGAATGAAAAGTGGGTTTTGCTGTCATAAGTTGTGCCCTAGTGGAGAATGCCGACAGTAGGGTGGAGAATATGAAAAGAAGGCAAACCGAAAGACCAACGGCAATACTGAGGAAAAAAATTTGTTCACTCAAGATTTTAGATTCATGCCTTTACTGAAAGTAAATATGGGATTTCTAGACTTCCATAAAAAGTTCTTGTGAGTAAGCAAAAGAATAAAGATAAGTGGATTAAAACACAGCCCAACTATTATTATACTGCTTCTCGGATCATATTATAGGGTCTAATAATAAAAACAACCCACCAGGAACTTATAATTGAAAAATGTCCAGTACAGTATAAATATATATCTCGTTGATATTTGTATCTGCTCAGAAAACCAGAAATTTTATATCAAGTGGATATTTAAATATTACAAGACAATCCAACAAAACCAGGATAAACCTCCATTTTTGTAATTATTAAACTATACCAATGTTATTTTGTCATGAAATTATTTTAATGTTTATGACTCTATATAAGGACATGTTATACAAGCCAAGACAACAGTAGCACTTGGCGAGTATCTAGTGAATACCCATTACAATATTATTCGTCCCTAACCTGATAAATGTTTGTTGATAAACACATTCAATGCATGGCTAGCAGAAAGCACTGCAAGCACGAGCAGCTTGCCACCACTTACAAATCCTTTGTTTGAGTCAGTTCTCACACTGGACAATAGAGACAAAATAAAAAGTGTCAGATACCAGACAAAAAAACGTGGTTTAATTTTTGTTCGAGTGAATGTCTATGTTGGAATGTGAGACTTAGGGTCACTAAAAAACGGTTACAAGTGCACTTACTCTGTCGTGTACCATAAATAGACTGTGTCATCTCTAGTGTTATTAATATGCTCCAATAACCCAACCATCGTGAATGAATTCTCTTCGTGTGAAGCAGCCTCCTCGTTGTAAGACTGTAAATGAATGTTGATTGTAATTAGCAAGAAAAACATCACAACTGGACTTTGATTTGAAAACATGAGTCTGCATGGAAAGAATTAAGGTGTTGTTAAATATTAAGTTTTATTTTGCACAAAAGGATATAAAAAGAATAAGAGATCAAACAAGAAGAAACCGAAATAATTTATCCCTAGTGGTGTCTGGATTATTCAATATTTTTATTCATATTAAAAAATAACTGAAAGGAATAACAACCTGAGATTAACAATACGTACAAATATATAATTTGTTTGATACAAATTTGTATTTAAGGGTAGGCAACATGAGCAGGATTTGGTAATATTGATGTCATGCTTACTCTTGTTTTCCAACTTTTCTATTATATCTTCTACTTCATACTATTGAATAAATGAAGAAAACAAAAATTAACCATCAGCTGTAGAATCTGAGATGATATCATGGTATTTTTTTTTCAAACCTTGTAACCGTTAACAAAAGCCGAACTGAAACCAGTTCCAAGTTGTTGAACGTTTTACATAAAAAGTACAAATATTAGTAGGATTGAATGTTCCTAATCATGATTTTTCACATAGCAACTCTACAGTTTATTCTCGGACCTTAAAAATGTGTAATCCCGCCCCTTTGGGCAGCCTAAAAAATTCTAGACATGAAAAAACAAGATGTTATTGTTATGCCCCTTAATGTCCGGCGCCTTGTGGCCTCGTTCATCCGCTTTCTGGAGGTTAAAAACCCAAGGGGACTGGGGGTATAGAAGCCTTTCCGAGCAAGCCTCTAACGAAGAGCTTTGTACAATCTTATATTAAAGGTAATAAACATGAAATGGGCCGTATTTGACATAAATTCTGGCTCAAAGAAAATATTTTGAATGTTTGTAGATGTCATTTTGCTTTTCTGATTTTGCATAATCATGTAAGATAAAGGGAGGACTGGTTTTGCATAATCTTGTAAGATAAAGTGAGGAGTGATTTGGATTTCTGAATCTGCTAGCATGCGATTTTTACAATAAAATAAGCACTTCTATAACTGATATTCACCTTACACTTGTTTTGACCAATCAAACATTTAGCTTCTGTATGAAAACTACAATACTTTCCACCACTAAAAATAATTTCTAAGAGCATAACTCATTGGAAAAGAGCCCCTTAAAACCAAGTCATGCAGATTGCCTAAAAGATCATGAAGGTACGTGTTGGTTTTTTCATGAAAACTTCATAAAATGCATGCATGACTTTCAACGGCCTTTGTACCTAAAATATTAAACAAGAGCAAACACACACCTCTCTGTATGAGTTGAAATCATAACCATATTTGTCATCCTAAATGATAATTGCAGCTCATCATGGAACTGATATGGAAGTTAATACTGTCATTGAGTGAAGTAGACTTTACAGACAGCTCTCTTATTCTAATTTGAAAAATTTGTGTGTTTACCATATTCATCAAAAGGTGCATCACAGTCATAGCTAGCGCGATAAACGGACCACCAGCTGTCATACCAAAGTTTGTTCCTCCATGGTACTGAAATATAAAAATAAATAAAATCATGCTTAGCTAATTCATAATAATATATAGTCGATCAGAATACCTAAAATGGTCATCATACCATATAGTAGTTAATGTAAGAACCTCATTTTTGAATAAATTTGGCAAGAGAAAATGCCAAACTTCAGTCGGACGGTAAGGAACTGGACCACCAAATCAGTATACTTAAAAAAAAAACATTAATGTAAACAAAAACTTGTTTTTCCTAAGAGTGTATATTAACACCATCAAAAGTTGAATACATACCAGCCGGTCCATGCTTGAGTCCACATCTTGGTTTTATAGGCTTTATTGGTAGAAAAGTAATCACAATACAAACCATTGTCAGAATAACTTCATCCTCGCATTGATGTTGTCTCTCACGGCCTGCAAAATTCAATGAAATTTATGACTTATTCAAGATCAACAAAATGATTTAGAGCATGAATGCTATTCATATTTCATTAGAGACAAAGAAAAAAACAGGAGAAATAATAGACTCACCGGATTTAATGTTTTGTGATCCACGTGTCCTCGAGCACCACCGCCTGCTCCCTGGACAGGCGGAGCTTTTTCCTCCCGGCTGCCCCGTCGCCACCGCCGTCCCGTGGGCGATATCCAGCAAGGTCGATGCCATCTCGTCTTCGTTCTCCTCCCGCTTGCTTCTCTTCTCACTGAGGCTAGAAAACGTGCTATACGAATACGCCGCTGCCATGACACTCTGACCGCGTCCCTGTGGCGGCGCATTTGCAGTGAGCTGGCGCCGTGGGCACCTCCCCGCCTTCTGGTGAATTTTTGGGTGAAATCTTGTGGTATTTTAGAATGGGTGAATGTTGAATAGAAGAAGATACTTTCAAAATGGATGAATATTGAATAGGGTAGGGTACAATTTGGGTTGGAAAATGGCGAAGACGAACTGATCTTTCCTAATTTTAGGCTTTTCGCAGGAGGAAGACGTGCGAGTGTCAGGAAAAGTTGACGTTAATTGAAGCGCATTAAAAAAGTCAGTGGTAGATGAGGGAGTTGTGATTGTTGCGTGTGAGTTGTGATGGGAAGAGATAGGTGAAGCACAGAGTGTAAAACACAATCTCAAATTTTGTGGGGGAAATCATGTCTGTCTCTCTCTCTTGTGGGTCTCTCTCTTGTGGCAAAGTTGTAAATACATGATAAAATGAAGGACATTTTTGACACAAAAAGACACGTGTCAAGCCCACAATTAATCCTCAATGTCTTCTTATATGTATAGTAGAGATCTTCTTATATGTATAGTAGAGATGTATAGTAGACATATAAATAATATAAAAATAGGTTTTCATTTTCATTTTCCAATTCCCAAATCTCACGCAACTTGCTTCTTCTTTCACCTTCAATTCTACACGCCGCCTCGCCTCACAATTAAGACTTGAAGTTTGTTCCTCCTGCAAAACGACTCTCCGCCATCTGATCAGGGCTCACCAAAAATTTGTATGTGATTTTTTTCTGTTGTTTTCATTATCATTCCATAAATCTGGTAATATATAGTAAATTTTAAATGTATGTGTGCGAAAGGATGTGTAGCCGTACCAAAAGCATTTGAACTTCGATGGTCTGTCTTCTTTGATTTCATCCAGTCACTTCTGATGCGGTTGATAACAATCACGATTTATTCTGAAAAGCTTGCTCAATGGTTTTTCATCATAGGGACGAAGATATTATTAGTTGCAGTTTCAGTTTTCTTTCGATGCAAATGACAAGTTTCTGGTTAATGTTGCTTAAAATATTGTGCTAGTTTGTTCGAGTAAACGGTTGCAAGTGGAAGTTGTACTGTATGCATGTCTGTTTTTCTTCATCTATACTGTTAATTAAAGGCTCGTGGATGAATCTCTTAGGACTGTCAGTTTAAATTTTGTTGTTAGTTATATATGGTTCCCTTTCTCATCACATGCTAGAATTTTATGGGCGTTTTAGGATGATCTACTGAACCATATGTTTGGAGGTATTGTTTTTACTTGATGCTTTCTAATGGACAATTGTTTTGTTTTCTCGAGCTTTAGTTTTACAAGTGCACAGAGCTATCTAGTCATATTGTACTTTCTTTAAAAAAAAAGTCGTTCCTTTTACTGCTAGTGTTGGACTGATCAACACGAACGCCAATACGCTTAGGGGAGATTATGCACGGAGGAGGCGTGCTTGATTGCTCTTTCACGATGACTCATTAGGGTTCAGTGCCTCCGTTGATCACACTGTAGAAGGTGATTTATGTTTCAGTGAATTTTTTTTTTAGCCATTTAGATTTGTAAAACACAAATTTTGGCCACATATTTAAAAAAACCTCTTTTTTAGCCATTTTGGCACCTAAAATGTCAAAAATAC